TTTAAAAGTGGTTTGGAGTAAATGGGTCAAATGCCCTAAAAGCTATTGAAGAAAAACTGGTATTTTTAACCAAAAAAATCATTTTAAAATGTTAAATGCTTTTAAGAACAATTTCAAGGGCTGAGCCCCATAGCCCTCATTTAGTACTATTATTTAAAAGTGGTTTGGAGCAAATGGGTCAAATGCCCTAAAAGCTATTGAAGAAAAACTGGTATTTTTAACCAAAAAAATCATTTTAAATGTTAAAAGCTTTTAAGAACAATTTCAAGGGCTGAGCCCCATAGCCCTCATTTAGTACAATTATTTAAAAGTGGTTTGGAGTAAATGGGTCAAATGCCCTAAAAGCTATTGAAGAAAAACTGGTATTTTTAAAAAAAAATCATTTTAAAATGTTAAATGCTTTTAAGAACAATTTCAAATGAGCCCCATAGCCCTTATTTAGTACTATTATTTAAAAAGCTGGTTTGGAGCAAATGGGTCAAATGCCCTAAAAGCTATTGAAGAAAAACTGGTATTTTTAACCAAAAAAATCAAGTTTAAAATGTTAAAAGCTTTTTAAGAACAATTTCAAGGGCTGAGCCCCATAGCCCTCAGGTAGTACTATTATTTAAAAGTGGTTTGGAGTAAATGGGTCAAATGCCTAAAAGCTATTGAAGAAAAACAGGTATTTTTAACCAAAAAAATCATTTTAAAAATGTTAAAATGCTTTTAAGAACAATTTCAAGGGCTGAGCCCCATAGCCCTCAGGTAGTACAGTTTTTTAAAAGTGGTTTGGAGTAAATGGGTCAAATGCCCTAAAAGCTATTGAAGAAAAACTGTTATTTTTAACCAAAGTATAATTTAAAAAGCTTTTAAGAACAATTTCAAGGGCTGAGCCCCATAGCCCTCAGGTAGTACTATTATTTTAAAAGTGGTTTGGAGTAAATGGGTCAAATGCCCTAAAAGCTATTGAAGAAAAAACTGGTATTTTTAACCAAAAAAATCCTTTTAAAATGTTAAATGCTTTTAAGAACAATTTCAAGGGCTGAGCCCCATAGCCCTCATTTAGTACTATTATTTAAAAGTGGTTTGGAGTAAATGGGTCAAATGCCCTAAAAGCTATTGAAGAAAAACTGGTATTTTTAACCAAAGTATAATTTAAAAAGCTTTTAAGAACAATTTCAAGGGCTGAGCCCCATAGCCCTCAGTTAGTACTATTATTTAAAAGTGGTTTGGAGTAAATGGGTCAAATGCCCTAAAAGCTATTGAAGAAAAACTGGAATTTTTAACCAAAAAAATCATTTTAAAATTTAAAAGCTTTTAAGAACAATTTCAAGCGCTGAGCCCCATAGCCCTCATTTAGTACTATTATTTAAAAGTGGTTTGGGGTAAATGGGTCAAATGCCTTAAAAGCTATTGAAGAAAAACTGGTATTTTTAACCAAAAAAATAAAATTTAAAAGCTTTTAAGAACAATTTCAAGGGCTGAGCCCCATAGCCCTCATTTAGTACTATTATTTAAAAGTGGTTTGGAGTAAATGGGTCAAATGCCCTAAAAGCTATTGAAGAAAAACTGGTATTTTTAACCAAAAAAATCATTTTAAAATTTTAAATGCTTTTAAGAACAATTTCAAGGGCTGAGCCCCATAGCCCTCATTTAGTACTATTATTTAAAAGTGGTTTGGAGTAAATGGGTCAAATGCCCTAAAAGCTATTGAAGAAAAACTGGTATTTTTAACCAAAAAAATCATTTTAAAATGTTAAATGCTTTTAAGAACAATTTCAAGGGCTGAGCCCCATAGCCTTTCATTTAGTACTATTATTTAAAAGTGGTTTGGAGTAAATGGGTCAAATGGGTCAAAGTATAAAAGAACAATTTCAAGGGCTGCCCCCATAGCCCTCATTGTAATTAAAAAGTGGTATTTTGGGTAAATGCCCTAAAAGCTATTGAAGAAAAAACTGGTATTTTTTAAAAAGCTTTTTAAGAACAATTTAGTACTATTATTTAAAAGTGGTTTGAGCAAATGGGTCAAATGCCCTAAAAGCTATTGAAGAAAAACTGGTATTTTTACTATAATTTATTTAAGAACAAAGTGGTTAGCCCTCAGGTAGTACTATTATTTAAAAGTGGTTTGGAGTAAATGGGTCAAATGCCCTAAAAGCTATTGAAGAAAAACTGGTATTTTTAACCAAAAAAATCATTTTAAAATTTTAAATGCTTTTAAGAACAAATTCAAGGGCTGAGCCCAATAGCCCTCATTTAGTACTATTATTTAAAAGTGGTTTGGAGTAAATGGGTCAAATGCCCTAAAAGCTATTGAAGAAAAACAGGTATTTTCAAACCAAAAAATAAATTTTAAAAGCTTTTAAGAACAATTAAGGCCTGAGCCCCATAGCCCAGAGGCAGTAGTGTTATTTAAGAGTGGTTTGGAGTACGTGGGTCAAATTCCCTAAAAGCTATTGAAGAAAAACTGGCATTTTTAACAAAAAAAATATTGAGATATTGGCTTGAGATCTATAGCCTACAGGTAGTCCTGTTATTTAAAAGTGTTTTGGGGTCACAGGGTCAAAATTTTCCAAAGCTATTGAATAATATTATATTTTACTCTAACCTATAATGATCAAAGTGATTTAGAACTTTTACATTACAATTACATCTATTTTGCTCGGTGTCATAATCATCCTTTTTCATTTTTTAAAAGTATATATGAATTTATTGTGTTATTTAGGCATTAAAGTCTTTTTTTATATCCACTTTCATGTAAGTGAAGAGTAGGGTAAAATGTTGACGGTCCCTAAATGTAGGCGAAGACTCGCGCGAGTACATGTCCGCTCCGTGCTACTCTCAGGCCGGCTGACGACCTCCTCACTTCCCCTCTCTGAATATCTGTCGAATATCCAATATCCAACCAACTTCACCACGGTATTTCACCCGTGGAAATACTCGCTCCGTGTGGACCCCTCTCAGCGTCATCGTCTGGTCAGAGTGGATTGGAATGTCTCGATGGCTCATTTTCCTTTGATTTATTATAAAAACATATTGCTCACATTGTTTGTTACTATGTCGGAATAAGAAGTTTGATTTAAATGTTGTATATATGTAAATTGAATTTAACATAAATAAATAAAAAGACAGTTCCCCCCTGCGTCCTACGACCGCGGTCTGGGGCTTAAACAGGAAAGTTTTACAGAATCAATCAAACAACATTATTTCTGGCTACTTCAACGTAATTTTGACTTTTAAAGTCGAAAATTTGACTTTTAAACTAAAAATTTTGACTTTCTGTATGCTTTTTTTTTACATGGCGGAAACGGGCTTCCATACTCACTAATGTCCTGTATGTACGCTGCAGCATTAACATTTTCCCACCGTGGGACGATTTAAGGATCTCTTATCCTATCTTGTTCTTCCAAAATTCTATCGCAAACCCTATTGGTCTATGCATTCAGTGACGTATTACTCAAGCGACAGGGGAAGGTATTTACATTTTTTTATTGCCACGTGACTACTGGTGTCCAACGCCTGTGTGGATAGTAAGTTCAATGAAAAGCTATCATTTAAACGTGTTCTCGTCATTTCTCGTGCTAAATGTGCAGTGAGCTAACCATGGTGGGTGTATCTTCCGGTGAGTGAAGTCTGTCTGCTAGCAACAGCTAAACTAGCTAAACTACGGGAACATCATGGGTAACATGGGGGAGCGGGATGGTACGAAGAACAATTGAGAACAATGATTTGACGTTTGCATTGATTTTACACATTTATGTATTCGTGTTAAGATTAGTGTTACGTTGCGGTAAAATGCGAAGGTGAACAGTTAACACTACAGATACAAACTACAACTGGGAGGCAGCATGACAACTTGTTGAACACTAAATACTAGAATGATATTTTTTGAAACTGCCTGGCTGTGGTGTCAATTGTGAGAACTTATTTCGCCATGTTTCTACACATAATGTGTGTCAGTTCAGTGGAACAATTGGAATGGGTCGTCAAAGAGGCACTGTGAACTGCAGCTTTTTCCTGTTAATCCATTCATTATCTCTCTGACGAGTGCCCTTGCTGTGAGGTATGTACCCTGGCCTGCATTGCAACAAGTCAGCCACTGTTTGCTTTCTCCTTTATGTGGAAGGAAAAGGCACCCCTGATCACACTAGCGCATAATATCCACTATATCGCACAGAAAACAACTCAAGCCTTTTCATTCCAGTAACATTTACAGCTAGTCATCTGTAAGTGCTGTGTTGAAGACAATGCTCATGAAATCAGTGTTTCTGTTAAAGATGGGACAATAAAATCTATATATATATATATATATATATATCAACTACTAACTATCAAGTTGTCTTTCTTTCTGATCGCAGCAGTACCTGAAACTACCTTGACAAGGACAATGCCAGCTCTTAACGAATGAAGCTGCCAGGAATCTTTACAGGAGTAAAGTGTTCTGGGTTGAGTGTAAAATTCTCGCCTTTCCTGCTGTATTGCTGTTGAAGATGGTTTGGAATAGACCATATATACAGAAAAGAAGTTTCCACACCAGAAAAAGGGTGTCTTGCAGAAAACTTGTCAAATTGAAATTCTGGTTGTGGAGAAAACGCCAAGAAAGATCCAGAGCCAGGTGCAGAGTTCTCAAGAGCTTCAAGAACTCCTATTGTTCACATCCAATGATCTTTTTAGAGACAAATGGTAACTCAAGGAGAACTAAACCAGAAAAAGAGACTCCTGATCTTGCTACCGCTCAGGCCTCTGATATTGTGGAAAAAGAAGCTCCTGAAACAAATGTAGAAATGTTCAGGGAGAGCGGAATGGACTTAGATCATAGTGATGCACCTGCTGTGTCATCACACGGGGACTTATCTGATGCTACCGAGGACTTTAGGAGAGGCCTGTCAAAATATTCTCACAGTGACCTTGGAGAAAACAGAGAACATTTACATAAAGCAGAGCTCGAACAGACAGCTTTTGATGTGGTGGTCAAAGAAAACAAAGTAATATCTTTGGAAATTGAAAGTCCACGTATGATGTCAAAGATAATTCAAGGTATTTTTTCTTCTTATTCTCATTTCCCTTTTTAATTAACGATGCCTTAAGTTGACAGAGTTCCTTCTTTTTTGTTTGAGTAGAATTTCTTACCAACTTTCACCAAAAATATGGAAGTTTTATTCCTCTGAGAACAAGTGATTTATTAAAACATATAAAAGAGAAATTCCATGAAGACATCAAGGACTAGTAAGAGACGCTCCATGTTTTGTTATAAAAGGTCATTTAAACTCTGTTATTTATTTTTACATTAATATGTATTTTACATTTACAGTAAAGTATGGATTTTGGAGACGACAGTAGAAGAGATGGCAAAAATTAAATCTAACCCAACTTTCAAAGTGAAGTACAAGAAGCACACACTGACACTGGATGACTTGTCAACACTGGCCAGTGAGAGTTGGATAAATGACCAGGTTTGAATGAAAACCCAAAACATATCATCTAACATTCACAATTTAAATTATTTATTTTTCTTGTAGGTCATTAACATGTATGGAGACCTGATTATGGACTGTGGGAACTCTAAGGTAATTGTGTTTGGTCATTCTGAATCAAATATTACTATAACCTAATTTAAGCAAGGAAAGATAATCTCCAAAAAGGTGGATGAGAAGTGATACATATTCTACTGTCACTGTATTTGATACCAATTTTGTAAGGGAACCAAAGAGTCCCAACACTAAAATGGATTTAGCATGAGCTAAGACTTCTTGCTACTTTAAGTTTTGTTTGTTCAGCAGAGGGGTTAGGTGGGTTGATTTCTCATACGTCAGTGAGAATAGCTCTGGAAGACACTGGAGTTGGGGTACTTCTGTGGTTCTACAGTACATGTGGTAATACATACAATGAATATTGTTCAGAAGTCAAGAGTGATCAGTGTTAGAAGTTTGCATATGAACATTAGGACCAGGATAACGGATTTTTGAAACAATCGTAAGATTAAAATTTAACGTTTTTATATTATTATTTTTACATTAGAATTCTGATCGAACGCCACCCTACTTTTTTGTACCTTAGTTTTGTGATTTGATTCCGTCTGGCTGATCCTTGATATTCACATTCATGCACACATAAGCTTAATGGGATTGAGTCTCTTACTCTCTCTAACCATAACCGTAAATACTACTTAAATAATCTATCAATGTTCATCGCCTTGGACGTTTCAAATATATTGGTACTTAAGTGGTGTGCAATATTCCCCTCTGAAAGAATCCACGTTCATTGAACGACAGTTGATACAAAATCTCTTTTTGTAAGAGTTTCTTTTTATTTTGTTTTACATATTTGTGTGTGTTTGTTGGTTTTAAATTGTCCTTTTTTTCTACTCCAGGTTCACTTTCTTAACAGCTTTTTCCACAAAAAACTCCTGTCCAGGGGTTATGAAGGAGTCAAGAGATGGACAAAGCAGGTAGGACTCATGTCAGCGTAATGTATTTTACAGTAAAAAATAAATAGGTAAAATAAGTAATTACATTTCTTTTTACAAGGTGGATCTATTCTCCCAACATTTGATTCTTGTGCCTGTCCATATCGAGGTACATTGGTGTTTGGTGGCTGCCGATATTATTAGGAAGAAAGTGTGTCTGTATGATTCCCAAAGAATTGGTCTCCAGAAAGTAGCATGGGTAAACGGTCAATCCTGCTAGAATAATATGAACTGATGCTAGACAGCTAACATACTTAATGCTATATTTCCAACAGAACATCCTGAAATATTTGATGAAAGAAGCAAAAGAGAAGAAACAAACCGCTTTTGAAGACGGCTGGACAGTGTCCATGATGGAGGTGAGCGCTGAGCAGTGATCATGATCTCACTGGTTTCAAAGAATCCACCACTTAAGTTTTTATTAACAGTGTTTTGTCTCCATCTGCTGTTTCATAGAAAATCCCACAACAAACCAATGAGAATGACTGTGGTGTATTTATTTTGGAGGTTAGTTGTTAACTCTTGCTTTTGAAGTACCTTTTTTCTGTCCTTTGATGGTAATTCCCACTGTTTTACAGTATTCCAGATGTCTTGCACTTTCGGAGGCTCTGCAGTTTTCTCAAAGAGACATTCCATTCATTCGAAAAAGAATATACAAAGAGCTCTGTGAGTGTAAGCTGCATGACAAACAGCAGAATAACCTCTAATACCTATCCAAACCCTTTGGATAAGTATAATGCTAAGAGTTTGGATTATACTTTTGTGTGACGTGGTGCTTGATACCACTGATTTGCTGGTTGTTATAACTAGGGATGTATTTACCACTTTGTTCAAAACTGATACGAGTATGATTACTTTGAGTTCAAATATCATGTGAAGATACCTGACATATTTTACATGGCTTTAAGTACTGTACACAACGCAATAACATAGGTAAGATATTATGCAAACAATGTTCACAAAGCGCTGTTTATATAATTGTTTTCTGAAAGCCATGTTAAATAATGCAGTTTTCAATGCTGTACTCTGCAGGATCCACGCAGCTCAATATTGTCCCAGTTTCTTCTATGTCACTACAGTTCCAATTCCAGAACCCAATACTAGTACGACAAACACCATATGTGCGTCCCTGGTTATAACAAAGTACTTTTTGAGTTTGCACTTTTCTTTTGAAGGCAGCTTTTAGTTTAGTTGAGTTTCATCTTTATTTGAAAGGGACGGTGCACAGCAGCATTAAGCTTAAAGAGAGATGTGTTCTGCACCAGATTCTTGTTACACAACTAATGTTCATCTGGAGATTGATGTTTCATATGAATAGTGCAGGACCATTTGATTCATCAGTTTGATGGTTTAATAAATATTACAAATTAAGTATATCCATCCATTTTCTACCCTTTAATCCATTTCTGGGTCAGGGGGGTGGCAATCAGAGATGCCACCCAAGTCTCATAGCACCAGCCCCTCACTGACCCTCTGCAGGTGGTGAGTCCACAGGAGGACGGCTGCTCTCTGAGTGTGAGCATAGCCTTGATCTTTCAGTGGGGGCTTTGGGCAAAGTGGGGTTAAGTGTCTTGCCCAAGGACACAACAACAACAGTCATCAGTGGGAGTCCCCAAATGAAGTATATATTTGATTTATTCAGTGACACAAATGGACCATTTATATACAGCAAAATAAAATAATATGCCAAATAAGTGCATGCAGATTTTAATCTCCTGACGCTTCATGTATGGGGCTGAAGGCACATATTAACATTGATACTAAAACTAAAACATTTTGTAGCTCAATAATATGCCTTATAGATTCATCAATATTATGTGCATTTTAACATTGAATACATTTGGCTAATCTCTAGTCGATTTGAAACCCCCACTCCACCTCTGGGCCGTCATCAAGCCGAAATACGAGGTAAGACAGAAGCTGGAATAAGTTCTGCCACAGTCCCAGAAACATATACAGGTAGAAGTCACTGATATCGATTTGGCAGTTGAGTCCAGAGAAGTTCACATCACACACACACTCGAAACTGTTGATGTAATTTACACAAAAGCCTCCATTCAGGCATGGCTCAGAGGAACATTCATCCACGTCCTTCTCGCACCTAAATAATTTTTTAAAATGACTGTTATATACTTTATGAACTACTTTTATAGTAGTATACAATAGATTTCTCACCATTGTCCAATAAATCCGGGCAAACAGAGACATTTTGTGTCCCCTTTGGAGCAGTTTCCTCCATTGAAGCAGCTGTAATTCATTGATGTGTCAATGCAAGCAGAAGCAGGGAGCTGTGGAAGTCTGGAAACAGAAAATGATATATAATATTTTGGGGAAAACCTGATATTTTTGTATAAAGAATGTAGCATAAAACTCTTACGGTTTAGTTTCAATATACCATGGTATTTCTGGGAGTTTCTCACTGTAAGAAAACATTACAAACCTCAAATACCTGTAAAGTTCATGTTAATAAAACTAGTCCATACTTGCAATACCGTCCCGTAAGATTCTGAGGGCAAAGACATGTATATCTCTCAAGACCTTTCAAGCACGTGGCACCATTACTGCAGTTGTTGTTTTCACAAAAGTCCAGTTCCAGCTCACATTGTTTTCCCCCATGCCCTGGTTCACAGTCACACTTGTACTCCTCAGGCAGGTTGGTGCAGTTTCCAAACATACAGGGGCCAGAGAGGCACCTGTCTGTAGGCTCGTGGCAGAAGAGCCCTGTCCACTCAGATGGACAAACGCACTGGTGCAGGTCAAAGACATCTTTACAAATGCCACTGTGCTGACAAGGACTGGGCTCACAAACCCCTGTTCCCCTGCAACCATATTGTAAAGTGGCTCTGTCGTCAACTCTCAAAAACGTTTCTTGTTGTGGTCGAGGGAAATTGAGTTCAGTGTCTATGTGAAAAGGAAGAAAAAGACCTCCAATCTCCACTGGTCCTAAACATCCAGACATATTGATGGAAGTGGCATTCACACCACCTAGGAAAATATCTGCATCTTGTCTCATAAAATCCAGTGTGTAGAAAGGTATTCTAAACCTTTTGAAAAACATTGTTATTCCATCTAGACTAAGAATCCACTGTGGGGTCTGCAGCGAGGCAGTGTCCATCTTGAGCTCTACACTGTGCCACAGACCGTCATTTACTGGACGTTCAGTGTGAACTAAACTGACGTTTTGGTCAACTTTAACCAGCAGCACTGTCAGATGGGACTCTATCACAGACACAGTGAGAGAGTCCAAGTCCACTTGTGCATGCAGTAACGTGGCAACAGATTGTCTCGTTCGGAAACGTAAGGACACATTGTTTAAGTTGCGCTTGATTTTGTTGGTACCTCTGTAATGTAGAGGGTTGGTTTGAGTTCGAATTGTTACATTGGATAAACCTGCAATGAGTAAAAACACATTTGAATAAAACAGCAGTTTTAGGCAAATCCCTCTTCGACCCTTCAAAACATTTTATAAAAATAAGACTCACAGTCAAAACCCATAGAGTGTGGAAGACAAGTGGCTGAGACAGGACAAGGGGACATGTCACACCATTTCACCTCTTCACAGCGACGGCCTGCAGTATTAGGGGGACAGGTACATAGAAAATCATCCCACATGGAATAGCAGGCGCCACCATTAAGACAAGGGTTCACCTGTGAAAATAACAGGATCACAGCAACATTCGTAATACTATAACAATCTCTAAAAACTCACATCACATGTGTTGTCACTGCTGCATCCTTGCTCCACATTATTGAGCTGCTGCAGATTATAGGACTCCATCAGAGCAGCTATTGGATAGAACTGCAGCCGTTTGCTGTTTACTCTGAAATCTTGGATGCAGCCTTTGAAGTAGCCACCAAAGGAGGCACTTGCCCTTGGGTCTTTAACACCTCCAACATAAACAGCATCTCCAGAATTGGCCTGAATGTGTCTGATGGCTATAGACCCCCAGTTCTGGGCTGACTGATATAAACTGGCTGTTGTTCCTACCAGTTGTACTGTCAGCAAATGGAAATGTCCATCACTTATAACACCTTGGCTGATAAGACTTTCAAAATTGTTGATTTGAACATGAACTCTGCCCTCATCTAGCCACACGCGGAGGTATTGGCTGGTACTGTTGGCCATGATGAGGAGCAGTCCACTGGACTGTTTGGTGCGGACAAACATGGACACAGTCAAAGTGGCTCCCACATCATCATCCATTGAAAAAACAGCATAACTTTGCTGCTCCCTTCTTCCAAATCTAGCTGTAGCATACTCTGCAATAGAAAAATGAAGAGGAATATTAAGTCCCTGGTTTCTTATACATATGACTAAACAATTATATGTGTTGATTATTCATTCAAACTGAAAGTGAGCTATTGACCATTTCTATTGTGGGTATGGATGATTGTCATTATCCATGTCAAGGTCTTGTGTTATATTTTATGGGATTCAGGCTTAAAATATGAATGAATGAATGAATTGATGATGTCCTATTGTTGTGATTATTGATTAGCTAAGTGGGTCAAGCTGATTCAACAACTACCCAACTGTCATATGACATGATTTTAAAAAAGGCATACTAGGTCAGCTAATTAAACGTTTTTGGTTAATCTCCATGACAACACGCTTTTGAGATGAACGACTCAATAGTCTGTGCTATTTCAGAAGAGTAAGCTCATTTGCCGTCCAACTGGCAACCCTCCATTTCCAAGCCTCTCGTAGTTGTTACTGGACTGAAGAGATTAGGTCTAATGCAACCTATCTTTGATTAATTCTATCTTTTAGAGAAATAAATGTAGCCCTACAAGCCTGACGTGTAGATTTGAAGTGAAGTCAAAGCAAAATTGTACATGCTTTTTTTTTCAAAGTAAAGAGGGGCATGCAAAGCTAAGTGATTTTGAGTAATGTGATGATGGGAGGCAAGCGGCCAAACACCTGTCCCAGCGCTTGTGGTAGAGAAAACCAGACACAGGGAGAACATGCAAACCCTATACAGGAATTGAACCCAGGACTATTTGCTGAGAAGCACAAGCTATAACCCCTGTTTCCAGATGCTTTCGTAATAGTGAAATATTAAGTACACTCCATCAGAGAGTAATCAAATCTCAGTGTTGGTACAGCTGTCCTGATGACCGCAACATGTTTAGCAAAAAATATTTGTAAATAAACACCATCATGCAGTCCAAGAAGCCCTCCAGTGGTCAGGGGTGAAGTGTCAAGCATTGCCAGGTTGACATCTCAAGAATGGATAGAGCATAACACAACTGTAAACCTTAAAGCTCAAACAAGGACAGCTCTGGATGTGAGCTCACCTGGGGAAAATCTGCACTTAGGACAAATATCTGTTTTGTCCTCTACACAACACTAGCCTTTATGGATGTGACTAATAGAATGCCGTTAAGGCCACAAGAATCAAGGTGGGGGACACATTCAACATGGGGAAGCAGGCACTACCCTTTTGGCTCTACTGCGATGTGTGGTGGAAACAAACTCCTCCACACATCACACTTCATCACACCATCCTCACTGTCAAATATGGTCATGGCAGCATCAGGCTATGGAATCTTGGGTGGATGTTAACCTTTCATTAACCTTCGTTAACTTTTCATTAAGACCTTTCATTCCATAGAATGGTTTAAAACAAAACATGGTCATGTGTGATAATGGTCTATTCAAAGTCCAGAACCAGACCTATCCAAGACTATCTGAGACTAAATCTTTTAGGAAAAAATTGGGGGAATTTCTTTCTAGATGAGCAGAGCTTATGGAAACACACCATAAAAGATGTACTGCTGTAATTTCAGTAAAAGGAGGTTCCACGAAGAGTTTCAAAGTAGTTTTCATTTTTAAAACACAAAAAAGAAAAGAAAAACTTAAGGTCTGTGGTGTGATGTGACAGAATGTGGAATGTTCATGGTGTATACATACTTTTAAAAAACGTTTTAAAATATTGCATTACCTTGTTCACAGTTGTCTCCTTCATAAGGTCTGTGGCACTCACAGGTATAACTCCTCCATCCCCGGCTCACACAGCGGCCCCGGTTCAGACACGGGCTCTCAGCACACTTGTCTTTGTTGCTGCAACCTACAGTAATATTTGCCTGAAAATCCTCAGTCGCAGAAGTCGGCACCACCATTCTTGAATCCACCACAACATCCCTGAAGCACCCCAAAAAACCAGCAGAATGCTCTGCTTCCCCAGGCAAACCCCACTTGCCACTGACTGCTCTTATAGTGGGACTATAAAGGTGACTTTGTGACTGTTCCAGCACTATGTTCTCAGAATTCGTTTTTATGGAGCAGAGGGAGCCAGAGCAGGACAGCTCCATCAGATTCATCAAACCACCCAACATTGCCTCCACTGTGTGCCACACATTGTCAGATAAATACTCAGGGAGCCTCTGAACTAAAGTGCCTGGTCCTCCATCTTTCCAGCTCTGAAGACAGAGATGGCCATCAACAAGTTCAATTGTGAGAAGCAGGTTATCCAATTTACGTTGCAACAGGGTCCCCACCTCTCTATCAGTCCTAAAGCTAAAAGTTATATTAACAGGAGCTTGTACGTCTGTAGCCTCTATGGAAATGTATCCCTGCGATTCAAAAGAAAAGACTGTCTGTATTTGGCACATTGGGCCTTTGAAGCCAGCAGGACAAAAGCATGAGAAAGAGTGTTCACCATCCACTAGGTGAGGCAAACATATTCCACCATTGTCACACTGGACATCATCACAGCCTGAAAGTGCAACTGTGCAGTTCTGTCCTCCATAAAGGAGTCCGTTTTGGCTCTGTTGGGAGCAAAGGCACTTGTACCCTCCTTGGAGAGTTTCACAAGTCGCTCCATTTTGACATGGTTGATGTTCACAACAAGTACTCTCTTTTGAGAAAATGCCTGTATGTAAAAAAAAACACACGTTAAAACTCTCAATAATCAGTCCATTAATCAAAAAGAATCTTACCGGTACAAAGAATCAATGAAGTCCAAAAGTGTACTCCTAACCACTGCATTTTCCGAACATTTCTTTTTAAACAAACATTTAAACTTAAAGACAACCAGCACTGGCCATCTTGAACCTTCTTCTCCCACATGCATGAGGACACTGGAGCGTGTTGACAGAAGTCTGTGAGCCAGATTGAGGATTAGGCTAATGCACTTATACTGTCTTAACGTTACACTTGAATGTGCTGGGGTGGGGTCAGGCTTCAGTCCTATGGAGTTAAAGAACCTAACAAGTCCAATAGGACTGTAACTATTAACCAATTCATAATTTCTAAAATAATTTATTTAGTAATTTTATCGTTATTAAGTTCTCTATTTACAAACCACGCAGTAGGTTAAAAATATAAATAAAACAATAATAAATAAATGTCCTCATTTAATGATGAAGTAGTGTTGAAGTGGATACATGATGTCGAGAAATTAAGGCAAGGCAGCAGCGTTTGCACCTGTACCATGGTTTCTTTTGGAGTCCAGAATGCTAGGGGCACATAAACAAAAGAAAGTATCATGGGCATGTGTCTCATTTAACACTCATCAATGGCAAGTTTTTAATAACATTAACCCTCCCCCCTTTTCTTCAGAGGGTGTGGCTGGGGTCTCGGTTAATAGTCCGTCAGTTGAGATTGTATTTTGAGCAAAGTCATCATTGACCTCGGCCTCAGCGTTCTGTCTGGTCACTCCAGATCCAATGGTCAAGGTACCAGGTGGTACCAGTATTTCACGATTGATCTGTACAGACTTGTTGTGGAGTTAGTCACGTTGTGTGGTTAGGCTCTATGGTTGAGTTAATTTGGTTCTACTTTGAGACAATGGTTTTAATTTCAGGAAAAATATAGCTAGTTTGTGTCTGAAGGCACATCAATGATCTGATTGGAACATTGTTGAACATTATGTTTTGAAAACATCATTTTGAACATGATCTTTTTGTCAGTGTTCCAAAGCACATTGTTTAGAAGCTTCGTAGCAAAGAGCAGTTAGAGTCCAGACTCTAGACTCTAAAGTTCTTCAGGTGAGGACTTTAACCTCACCTTTGCCTAAGGCCTCTTCAGGTGAGGACTTTAACCTCACCGTTGCCTAAGGCCTTTAACCTCTTCAGGTGAGGACTCTCACCTCACCTTTGTCTTAATGCCTTTAACCTCTTCAGGTGAGGACTCTGACCTCATCGTTTGTCGAGGCATGGCCTAAAAAAGACAATTTGATTTTAATTTAACAATAAAGAAGTGTTGTTTGGAAATATGATCTAATTCAGTTCTCGAGCAGCTTAATTGAGCCTTTTCTACATCCAATTTAAATACAACTCACATCACCGCGTTCAAAACATCTAATCGATTCTTTGATGGAATCATTACACGAGTAGTCGATATCAACATAGCTGTTAGTTGCGGCCTAAAGAGAACTTGACTAGATGAGCAAACAAGTTTAGAAGAGAAAGATATGGGCCCAAGAAGCTTTGGTCCAATAATCATAGAGAATCATACTTTATAGTCGTATTATCTTTTAGTGTAATTGTGTGAACTCAATCCAATCAAAATTAACTATGTTAGTCAAGGCACAAGGTGTTCTGTGCCTTTATTTATGCTTGCCATGTGTTCAACTACATTTCCCACAATGCTCTATCCTCTACATTCCGCATAATGTTGCGACGCTATTTCCGGTAGGCGGAACTAGCGACATGTTGTCATCACTGTATCATTATCATTGTTATCTATTTAAAACAACATCAACGAAGCAACAATAACAGCCTTTGTACAACATGGATCAAATATAGACTGGAAGAAACCTTAGGCTGAGATCAGACAGCCAAATCAGCCAATGAGCGATCAGTTTGTTGGTACGTGTTACTTTCAGAATTAACCATAAAACAGGAGGAGGCGCACTGACGATCTTATTTCATATTTTGACTAAAGTGTCTCATCTCCTGCCTTTACACTGAAAAGACCTGCAAGTACGGAAGCCTCTGTGTTGCGCCGTGGACAGGTAATGTGCCTTTGGTCTCTCTGCTGTGGCCGCGGGGTCGTGTGTCCACAGTCTCCTCAGCCGGGGCCCGTCAGTGCTGCTGCGGGGGCACGTAGGGCTCCATCAGGGAGAGGCTCTTTACCAACGACCCGCCGTCTATCAACAGTGAATAATACACTGAAACTAACCCTTGTGTCCGTCTCATAAACTGTTTGATGATGTCTGGGACTGGGTTGACAATTTATTATAAAAAAGAAACATGTAAGAATTTTCTACAAACAATACGAACACCTCACGAAAATGTTTGATTCTTTGCAATTTGTGCTGTGTGCTTTTGAAGGAATAGAAATTGAAACCTTGTTCGATGTATGAACAATGACAGTCTAAATATGACATATGTTTTATGTTGTGGCTCGGTGTCAGTTAAAGGAGCAGTATGTTAAAAAATCTTGCCAAAAGTGGAACTGCACTCTCCCTGACTCAGGTTGCCAGATAAGCAGACGAATCCAGCTGGGACCATAATATCTGAATAAAGAGTTTTGTCAACAACTAATCTATAGTCAACACATAAATCCTGGTTTTATTCCTCGTTTTGTCATTAATGAGCTCTTTTAGTTCTGCGGCCACATGTTACTTTACCAGTGATATTAGCTGAGGTCTGGCAACCCGGATCACAGACTTCCTGATTGGTAAAACGTGCAGGGCAGGACATCGAAATGAAAACAATAACACGATTTAGGGGCTGTAAAACAAATTTTGAAATTGTGATCAGTTAAATAAGTTTTTGAAAAGAGCATGTTTTATTGATACTTTTTGACAGATTAGGGCCTTTTAATAATGACTTGACATGAAAATCTTACATATTGCTAATTTAAATTGTGTATGCTTTGCTCAACTATAAGTGTCAAATCAAATGGGCAGATTCAGTTGTTTTTGTAATACCTTTTTTATCATGGCAATTGATAGTTTTTGCAAAATCCTATGTGTGTAGACAAACGGACGCACAGACAGACACTTGAGGATGATTACAATACCCCTCTGTTGGCGGGGTAATGAATGTCACACATACTTAAAACGTATACCATAAGTCGCACGGATAACCTAAAAGCCTCCAGAAGACAATTTCAGAGAACATAATACAAGTATAATTCTCTTAAAAATCTACCACAAAAAATGGTTCATCAACACCTTTTTTACATTGTTAACAAACATGTAAATAAAATAATAATGGTGAACACTCATTAAGACTTTGTAATTTCAGATGTCTGTTTTTTGGACACCTTAAGATGAAGAAACCAACGAGCTCTCCGCGTCCATCCTGTGCAGATAAGGAGGCCCAAAGTGACAATGCTATGACCTGCCCCCCATCTCCTCCCTGGACAGGAGCCACAACTAGATGCATAACTATGACCCAGCACAGTCACAGCCTCCTCAAGTTCCTGAACGAAGATCGCAGGCGGAAGAGGTTTTGTGACGTATCGGTGTCTGTGGGAGGGAAGACATACTCAGCACATAAAGCAGTCTTGGCCCATGGAAGCAGCTACTTTCACGCCGAGTTGTCCAAGAATCCAGATGCCACTCATGTAGCGTTGGACCATGTAGATGAACCAGTTTTTCAGCGTTTGCTTGACTTTTTATACACCTCAGAATGCATTATAACGGAAGAAGAAATCCCTTCTATAACAGCGGCAGCACGATTTTTGGACATGATGGACATACTTGAACTGCTTTCTGAAGAGGCTCAAGCAAAATCTCCTGCTGCTCATGTTGAATTGACAAGTGATTCTCCGTTAATCGTTTCCATTACTTCTGAAGATGCATGTCATTGTGAGTCCCCAAGTCCTGCAGCCTTATTGGACAGTAAGGCAGTGAGTCAAATCATAACTGAGAATCCGACTTCTGCAACAATACGAAGATCATCACGCAAAAAATCTACGTTGAAGTATAGGGAAGACGATGAAAGTGGAAAGACTGGCGATGAAAAAGTACTAGTTTATAAAGATTTATTGGAGGAAGCAGCCAAAGAAGCAAATAGTGACGTTGAGACGAATTACCCTATTATTCAAGACTACATGGAGCTGGATGATGATAGACCTCAACTGGATGCAACTCAATTAAAAACAGACAAATTGCAAGTTAATTGTAATTCTGAAAAGACAATTCCTGTTAAGGTAAAGGTAAAAGCATCAGAAAGCGTTGTCCAGGAATACCCGGAAGGACTGGCTCCTGTTATAATTCAGACGTCCAACAAGAAGACGCTGCAGTGTCCTAAGTGTGACAAAATCTTTGACAGAGCAGGTAATGCTTTATACTGAAATGTACTACACAATATCTGTATCTCACACCGATAAGAAATACGATGTAACAAGCACAGTTCTGGGCAAGCATCAAGACCATTTACTATGCAAACATTCACTGTTCCAAACAAATGCATTAGATATGTTCTGAATATAACACGAAAGCCTTTCATTCAAGGCCACGGATTAAAAAAAAAAAAAAATCAAAGATTATTATTTTGAATGTGGTTTTTGTATTTCTCATCATTATTTCATTTTTAGATTGTTCCAAAAACAAGCATCCCTAACTGAAATATAATTGCTTTTTTATGTGTTTTCATCTTAATTATTTAAATTAAAAATGTTATATATTCTACTGTGTATTTAGTTAGGTTCTGCAATCTAAGCACTTTGTTTCACTTTTTTAGCCAAGTATGAGAGCCACACACGGGTACACACTGGGGAAAAGCCGTTCCAGTGTGAGATTTGCCACCAGCGCTACTCCACCAAGTCCAACCTGACTGTCCACAAGAAAAAACATGACAACAATACCTTTTCCTCAAAGAAAAAGCACCAGTGTCCCATCTGTAACAAGCTCCATGCCAGCAAAAAGACTCTGGCAAAACACATGCAAAGGTAACCATAGTAACATTAATTATACTCAATTCAGACTGAACAGCATAATTATAGACCCATTTAACCAATCTAGTACCAGCTCTTCATGTCCAGCTACTGCTGTCGATAGAGCGGCACAACATCATTCCCACCCACACTATGTTCCTTATTCTTTATTTGTATCGACGAAGTTCAATACATTTGTTCTATAGTATTAACATTATGCAACAGAAGAGACAATAATGTTGAGAGTAAAGGATAAAGGGGCATGTACAGAGAATGTACAATAGATATGACATTTACGGTCAAATTAAAAGGGAATAAAACAAGCTGGAATATATGTGAATTATTAGTAAATAATTTGATTTATTTTTCCCTTTAGATTTCATCCAGATCACATCCAAGAGGTCAAGAAAAGGACGAGGAATGACAACTGGAAGTGTGCTGTAAGCCAATGCAAAAAACACCACACTTTTCTTAGGCAAACAATCAGAATCATTTTTATTAAGAAACAGGAAGTCACAGACTTGGAAATTGCTTTGGCTCAGTGCAACAGTCAGAAAGAGAGGTAAAGAGTAGAGAAAAACAAAAACATATAAAATCTGCAACACTTCTAAGGAATTAAATTTAAGATGGAATTATTACAATTACTATACATACAAGTGCACATGGTGCACACAATATAAGGTGACAGCAGTCAAGTGATGACGGGCAGTAAAGTGACATTATAATGGGCAGTAAGGGGACTTCTAAAGGGCGGGGGGACAGGTTATGAAGTGTTCAAGAGTCCAACAGCAGAGGGGAAGAAACTGTTCTTGTGGCGGGAGGTTCTAGTCCTGATGGACCGCAGCCTCCTGCCTGAGGGGAGTGGTTGGAATAGTCCATGTGCAGGGTGAGAGGGGTCGGCTGTGATACGACCAGCCCGGCCTCGAGCTCGGGCGACGTACAGGTCCTGCAGCGATGGTCCTGCAGCGATGATATTCAATGTTTTTTTCCCCCAATAATCCCATTTCACTAAAAAAGGAAGAACAGACATGTCGTTACAGTGAGGGCTTGCATCTCGCCAAACTTGACTTACAAATGTCCTGGCGACTAACTTTACACGCAAGTGGCGTTCTATCTCCACAAAGTTGCAAAAATTTGTGCTTTATCGGAAGACCATCGAGAATGGAAACCAATTCAAATAGTGCACACAAGTGATTGTCTATTCTGCATGTCTTAAAAATAATGATGATGATAAGAATGATAATATAAATAAATAAATGCAAGATTATTTATTTATTCATAACATTACTGAGGAATTTCCGGGATACTACATATAGGATAGCTAGGATACTTAAGAAATGCAACCGGGTGGAGTAGAGCTGAGTAGGACTGGTGGTGGTGGAAACGGGGTTTGTGTAAATGTTTACTTTAGCAGACTGCTTAACTATAACCCTGCATTCATTTTAGTCTTCCTCCAGATGATGAAGAGACATAGAGGTGATATATTTGATAACGGGATCTCGGGTAACGTGGAATGCTTTGATTCAACCCTAAAGTGATGTGGTGGATTGAGCATATTTCAGACTGGAGGAAGCCCCAAAATAGCGGTGGCAGCGTTGGGGACATTCAGATGACAATAGGCCCATGTCAGTACATGAAAAGTTGTATGCTCAGAATGGATCCAATTTGGGTGTATGATGAATATGAAGCGGTTTAGCAACAAGCCCGAGCGCAGGAAAACAAGAAAGGGAGTTCCGTTCTTTTCTCTCGTTGTAAAAGTGGGTCTTGAAACTGTACGGGTCACAGAAAGAAGAGTCAAGCTAGATTTCTGGGGGGCAGTTAAAAAAAAAAATATCTCCTGTAACTTGAGTCTATATTTGACAGAAAATTGTTCCAACGATAAGAATATTTCCCTTGCATATGTGTCATTTACAATACAATTTACGATACAATTTATTCTTGTATACACCCTAAATCACAACAGAAGTCATCTCAGAGGACTTAACAAAACCATTGAAATCACCAACACAGATCAGAGAATCAACAGTTAAAACGCATTCCATTATAGAACAATTTCCATACATGTTGTAGAATGTTAAAGTGTCCTCACCACATCCTTTTTGTTGGACACTAACTGTCCAACAGATCCCCCTGCATCGGCAAGGAAAAACTCAAAAAAAAAAAACAAAAAAAAAAACAGTGGGAAAAAAGTGAGAATCCTCAGGGCGACCCACATATTGAAAGAGGGATCCGCTCCACACAGACGGACGGCTAATAATCCAGGACCTAAGCAACAGAACGAGGACCAATGCCACGCAGCGGCTGCAGAGCGTGGACAGGTCCGGTGCGGGGCTGAAGCACTCCCAGGCGGGTCAGGCAGTGCAGTCTGCAGGTGTAGTAGATGGAGGAGGCCAGGTCCAGAGGTCCCGTTGTCGTACCATGAAACAGACAATGGGACAACGAGTGAATAGCAATGAACAAACCACAGTCAAAATCCTAATAATGCTAAACAGATAAAGTAGGAAGGAGGAGAGGATAGTGCTCAAGTTACCATACTTCTCCCAGCAAACTGACTCCCTATGCAGCTTGACTGACAGTCTGAGGAGTTTAGCCTTCCCTGAGTCTTACCTTCCTAGCCATATGCTAAACTAAAGAGGACTGTTTTAGTCTAGCCTAGAACGTAGTCTAGCCTAGAAAGTAGAGTCTAGCCTAGAAATTAGAGTCTAGCCTAGAAATTAGAGTCTAGCCTAGAAATTAGAGTCTAGCCTAGAAATTAGAGTCTAGCCTAGAAAGTAGAGTCTAGCCTAGAAAGTAGAGTCTAGCCTAGAAAGTAGAGTCTAGCCTAGAAAGTAGAGTCTAGCCTAGAAAGTAGAGTCTAGCCTAGAAAGTAGAGTCTAGCCTAGAAATTAGAGTCTAGCCTAGAAATTAGAGTCTAGCCTAGAAAGTAGAGTCTAGCCTAGAAAGTAGAGTCTAGCCTAGAAAGTAGAGTCTAGCCTAGAACGTAGAGTCTAGCCTAGAACGTAGAGTCTAGCCTAGAACGTAGAGTCTAGCCTAGAACGTAGAGTCTAGCCTAGAACGTAGAGTCTAGCCTAGAACGTAGAGTCTAGCCTAGAACGTAGGCTAGACATTTACATTGTCATGCCAAATTCAACCTGTGAGTTTCCTAAATGCTCTTTGCTTCCACAGATTTGCCAGAAGACATTCACGCGCAGACCACATCTTGAGGAGCACATGATTTTACACTCTCAAGAGCTGCCTTTCAAATGCTCCTTCTGTGACCAATACTTTAAGTCTAGATTTGCCAGGTTAAAACACCATGAAAAATCACATTTAGGTAAAGCAAGCCATATCACTCGATTGGTCACTTCACCTCACTTCTGGACTCTGTTTTTGAACGTGTGTTTTGTTTGATTTCAGGTCCCTTTCCTTGTGAAATCTGCGGGCGCCAGTTTAACGACTCGGGCAACAAAAGAAGGCACATAGAGTGTACGCACGGCGGCAAGAGAAAGTGGACCTGCTTCGTCTGTGGGAAGTCCGTGAGGGAGCGGTACGCCTCTGCTTTTTGTGCCGTACAGTCTGATTTCTTTATACATCAATAGAGTTTGTTATAGTTTGCACAGACCGCAGTGCTCAATGCTTCCCAGAACATTGAGCACATTCTCTCTCTTTCAAACACTTTATTTCATTCCTCGCAGACCGGGGAGGCTGAGGAGTGTGATCCCAAGAAAATTGGAACACACACTCTGGTCCCCCTTCTTGTAGATTGGGACCACCACCCTAGCCTGGTCGTACCACACCATAGTACAAATTACATTTCGTACTAAGGTCTGGAGGTGCTCCACTGAGCTCCGTTTACAGGTGGGGTTAACTCCTTTTGCAGATTGAAACGATTGGATCTGAGTTTACTGTGACGTATGTAGTGTGCCCGAGTGAGTCGTTAGCATTTAGCATTTAGCCTAGCCATCTCCTTTGCCTCTAACGGAGCCCGTGGGGAGTAGCGCCACAATTTTTGCCAGCTATTACTTTTGCTAAACATTCCTCTTGCTTCGGCTTCAACTTCTTGATAAAACCAGACCGGATTACTTTACTATTGCATTTTTCGCCATTGCCAAACCACAACCTGCCCGTTCGACGCCAACTCTTGACGTCACCCACATCTAACACCGCCTCGAATGACCAGACCCAGACGTTACATGCAGGGAAATGATAATTGAGCAGAGTATACGGATGGCTAAGGCCAGGCTACCACCACCCAGGTCTCCCACTCCATTGGCCCCCCGATTGCCACGCAATGTTGCAGCCAAGACACGGTGTTGACAAAGAACTGCTTCCCCCTCCTGAGGCGCCGGACGGTTTGCCAGAATCTCTCCTCATGCTCCATAAACTCTCCGAACTCTCCGGACTCACCCAGGGCCGTGGCCCGCTTGGCCTGCTGATACTGGACAGCTGCCTCAGGAGTCCCACGACCCATCATGGCTCGATAGGACTCCCTCTTCAGCCTGACGGCATCCCTTATTACCAGTGTTCACCACCGGGTTCGGTGGTTGCCACCGGGACCAGCACCAGAGACCTTGCGACCACAGCTATGAGCCGCCGCAGGTTGAGAACATGGTCCACTCAGACTCAATGTCTCCCTCATCTGGTAGCTGGGAGAAAGTCCCAGCTACCAGATGAGGGACTCATCTGGTAGCTGGGAGTCATCTGGTAACTCTTTCAACTCCCAAAGTTGTGAGTTGAAAGTCCGCCTGACAGGGCTCAGCGAGACGTTCCCAGCAGACCCTCACCACACGCTTGGGTCTGCCAAGTCTCACTGGCTTCCTCCCCTGCCAACGGATCCAACTCACGACAAGGTGGTGATCGGTCGACAGCTCCGCCCCTTTCTTTACCCGAGTGTCCGAGACACGCGGCCGTAGGTCAGATGATACGACCATAAAGTTGATCATCGACCTCTGGCCTAGGGTGTCCTGGGTGCGCCATGCCGGGGGACGTCACAGATTTTGTTTTAGTGCTTTCCATGGTGCTTTTTGGACTGTGCTTCGTATGATTCGTCACCTGAGACCTGTGTGCCATGGGACCCCTACCAGGGGCATAAAGCCCCAGACAACATTGCTCCCAAAGTCATCTGAGTACTCAAACTTCCCCACCATCAGGATCAAATATCTACCTGAATTGCAATGATTCTTTCACATGGAGTGGTTACCAATATTAAATGTAGAAATTACAGATACAGATTTTACAGATATTACAGATTTCATGGTAAAAACAAAACCTCAAGAGTATGATGGGTTTTTTATACTCTTTTGTGTAATTGAAGGTTGATGGCTGGTACTCCTTTCACACACAATATTATGCTATATTATTTGTACCTGTAAAAGATATGTTGTAAAACTGCTCAAATAAACTACTACTACTTACATTGTTTTTGACAGGACGACTTTAAGGGAGCACATGCGAATCCACAGCGGGGAGAAACCGCACCTCTGTAGCATCTGTGGCCAGAGCTTCCGTCATGGGAGTTCCTACAGGTCAGTAAATATTATGAATCATTTATGGTTTTTATTATTATCTTTTAGCAAGGGCGTAGGTTTGCGTGGGGACCATGGGGACATGTCCCCACCAATATTTGGTGAGGACTAAAAAGTCCCCACCAAAATGACATGATGTCCCGTGACCCGGACGGTCCGGGACACATGTCTTCCGTTTGTGCACACGTCGCGCCTCCTCCTCGCCTCCAGAGCAACAGCAGCAGCAGCAGCACGTGACCCGTTCCGTTCTCTGCAGTGATTGGCTGTCTTCTTCAGCGCCAAACTGAAGCACTGAGCAACTGTTTAATTTTTAAAAGTTAGCCAGCGTGAAGCAAGTGTTTTTTTTCGTTCCCTGAGCGTTGTAGCACGTGAGTAATCAGAGGAAAGTACTGTAGATCTATTACCATTCAAAGTACTTACGTTATTTCTAATCTGTCAGCGCACTGTTTAATGTTCCGAGGAGCTCACACGGCACAGAGACAGAACAGAACTGGCTCCAATAAAGAAACAGGTTGGTTGAAAGGCTGAAAAAGTACTTATTGTGCTCTTACTATCCAAAATGTGTAAGTGGGTGTGTTGTGTGAATCAGGATAAACTAGGGATGAAAATATTCCACGGATCCACGATTTACAACCTTTATCTGCTGATAATGTAATTTCTGTGAAATGTGTGACAGCGGGCACTTGCTGTTATTTGCTCTAAGCACAAGCGATGCACTCGAATGTGCACGTCCTGGTGCAGCTGCTGCCGCTTTGTAATGACAGCCGCGGCGCTCAGTGAAAGCACAGCTCTAACATGGTACCGAGCTCGGACCATATGCAGACAGAACCATGTTGCAAGTGCGGGTCTCCCTCGTATCTCCCCCGTTTCTCCCCTGTGTCTCTGACATGTCTCTCCCCTGACTCTTCCCAAAGCGCAACCAGCGCTCCCGAAATTAAAGCTCGGATACCTAAATTTTCCATTGTGTTAACGATGCATGCTGGTTGTGCGCAAAACACACCACAACAGGTCATTTAAGTTTTTATTTTGCATACTTGAGAGCCCTGTGAGTCATTACTTGCCTTTTTGGGTTGAGAGTGGAATAAAAAAAAGAAAATATAGAAACATCCACACTGTTACTTATTGCCAAACTCTTGTTAACTCATTGTATTGAGAAATACTATGTAACTTTTGACATTGGCCAAGTTATATAAATGATTCTGCAGTTCATGTATATGAATGTCCGTTTTTGATTGTCTATACCTTCTTATATAATTTAGAAAAAATGCCACCTCCACAAATAAGATAAAAGATATCAGGAGCTTTTTTAACAGTTGGAAAGTAAGTAAGAGAAAGCACAAGTAATAGCAAATTATGAATTGTGATGATTAATCTTCTGTTAACATACATAACTGCTTCTCATTCAGTCTACAGCTGAGTTTAGTATAGAAGGCAACACACTATTGCAAATATAGTGTGTGATTACACAACAAATTCTGGGGGAGAAACTCTGGACCCCGTGTCAATGGGTGTAGACTCAGGTCGTAGTGAATGTCCCCACCAAGATTGGAACCAAACCTACACCATTGTCTTTTAGTCTCGGTGAGGATATTTTATTTCTAGGGATTGGAATCTTTTGAAATAGTCGTTTTCATTCTCTTCATAACCTTTCTGTTTAGACTTCACCTGAGAGTTCACCACAACGACAAGCGTTATGAGTGCATTCAGTGTGGAAAAACGTTCATCCGCCACGACCACCTGAGCAAACACCAGAAGATCCACTCTGGTATTGCGTTAGCTCAGAACCGTCTGAGTCCAGCTGATCCAAAACTAACTTTGACTTTGTTCAGGCGAGAAAGCACATCAGTGTGAGGAGTGTGGAAAGTGCTTCAGGCGACACGATCATTTGACGGTCCACTATAAAACTGTGCACTTGGGACAGAAGGTTTGGCAGAAGTATGTGTTGATAGTATATAATAATGTTTGTTTTAGTTTCAACAAAATAGATGTAAAAACAAAATATCATTCTTCCTGCAATTTTACCATTTTTAAGTTGTTACTTATTCATTATTCCTGCCTTTTGCGTTTGCTGTAGATATAAAACAGCTGTGCATCAATGTGAAGTCTGCAAAAAGGAATTCAAAGGAAAGTCCAGCTTAGAAAGCCATTTTAGAACTCATTCAGGTACGTATGCATTTTTGGTTGTCTTGTTCTCCATGTTCAACTGTTCTGTAGAAAAACAACATTCTTAAATGTGGATATTTTAAGGACCAAAATATTAATCTTTTTAAGATTGATCAACCATGTTGTCCAATCATGTCCCTATTGAATAAAGTTGCTTTGTAATTTGTTATTATATACTGTATATATCATTTTAAAAATAATAATATATGGGTAGCACTGGCTGAGTGGATCGCACTCTCACTTCTCAGCAGTCCTGGGTTCGAATCCCAGTCAGAACAGGGTTTTCCTGAGTGGAGTTTGCACGTTCTCTGCTCCGCTTTCCCCTACAATTGGTAAATCTTCCAGCTCCAGAAGTCCTCACCGGACCAAGCATCAACATCTGGAGATGGGTCCCCGGGCGCTGTACCACAGCGACCACTGCTCCTGATGGAAGCATTAGCAGCATTAGGATGGGTCAAATGCAGAGGTTAAATAAAGTGCACCTTTACCTTTTATATGAGGCCTCTGAGTGGCCTGTCCAATTTTGTGATTTGAGCGTTTGGGGCTTGTGTTACACACTCTGAAACAACATTTAAATGAAGCTGTCCCAAAAAAAGAATTGGATGTGCATTTTAGTAACTGCATCATTTCTGTCAAAGGGGAGAAGCCGCACAAATGTCCCGAGTGCCACCAGTCGTTCCGGATCAAGAAAACACTGACGAAGCACATGGTCATCCACTCAGAAGAACGGCCACACCCCTGTCCTCACTGCAGCGCCGCGTTCAAACGCAAAGACAAACTGAAATACCACGTGGACCACGTCCATAACAGCCGCTACACAGTGCAGCCGGGTGCCACGCTCCGCCAAGACAAAGTGACTCTGAATTCTTATGATGAAACCAAATCCACTGTTGGAAGCAGCCCGTCCCCTGCTGACGGGACTTTAGGCTCGGTCTCGATGGCAGACGTGAGGCGAGGGGAACAGCAAAGCTACTCCACAACAGACCTGGTGTTCTTAGAGAAGTATACCCTGAACCCCCAGCCCGCTAATGTGGCCCACCCGGTGAGACCCGATCAGATGTTAGATCCCCAAGAGCAGTCGTACCTGGGGACGCTGCTCGGCCTGGACTCCTCTGTACCAAGTATCGCCAACACCAAAGACGACTGATTGAATTGTCCATATATTATTTTGTCATGTAAATTCATTTATTAGTTTTTGTCATAGATAAATTCAAGATCAAAGGGCTTGTTATGTACGGTAAAGATGCTCCATTAAACAATCACACGTCTGAATAAGCTTCTCCACACTGACATCTTGTGGTAAAATTTTAGTACTGCAGCGATTGAGGAGGTCAACAAAACACATCATTTGTTTCTAATAAAGATTTTTATAGATGCAGCTGAGGTTCCAGAATAATACTAATTATCATAAAACCAAGAAACAGGAAGGTAGTTTTTATTATTGATTGATGTATTCATTAATTCTTTCATGTGTATACCTTTCTTTTATATTAATAAAAACGTGCATGTAACAAGTATTTTAACATCTTAACGATAACACTGATCACCCAAAAAAAACAGTAATTTGCAGTGGGGAAAAAGCTATAATGACTGAGTTTAAGATTGAGCTATAAATCTATGGTGACATCTCAAAAACAAACAAACAAAGCTCATTGGCTTCAAATCCGAGAAACAAAACTGGACTAATGTTTGTTTTCCTTCTTCTCTTTAGGTTTAATTATAATAATTTCATTAACAAATCTTTCTTTGTGTCCTCTTTCTTATATTGGTGATAAACAAAAAAGGACTACAGACATTATATAGTTGAGAGGCTACTTTGATGTACAAGTCTGATCCTATTAGATCTCTAAAGCTAAGTGGGACAGCACATGGTTAGTACAATGATGGGAGACCTTTGGGATTACCAGCTGCATGTAAAGTGCTAAACTATTGTGGAGTCCTTAGGCATGACACTTCACCCACATTGTTTAGGGTGTGCATGCCTCTGTCAGTATGTACCATCAGGGCAACTGTGGGTTTAACAGTAGGCCCCACCCCCACCCTGTCCCTAATGTGAATGAAGAATGCATTGAGAAGCGCCTTTGAATGTAAAGTTCTTAACTAAACTTTTTACTTTTGAATGCACTGGAAAACGGCTGCAAGTCCTAAGTATGGACTGTGTGGTTCGCTGGAGCCACAGTCAGGAACAAGCAGAGGCTACAGCGCATTGTGCGCTCTGCAGAGGAAGTGATCGGCCGCAGCCTCAAAGACATATCTACTCTAGATATTACACAAATGAAGTCAGTATTAATATGTCGCTCAAGGCTCCTCTGTACGCTTCCTTACTCTGATACAACTCTGATACTTGTCATAATCTGCTTTGACCTGAACATATTGTTCTATGACCCAGATATTGCCAAAGAAACACATCTCCATCTATCAGAATATGTGCTGTATATGAATCCAGAGTTGAGAATTAGTTAATAACTTACACTTATAACTATTTCGTGTTTATTCAGATTGCTTTACTAAAAGATTTCTATAACAGCATATTTCTGACCAATATATTGATAATCGTCATAATGTTATATAATCGTTATCGTGAGCTTTGTATCGCGTATCGTATCGTATTGTGAGGTACCCTGAGGTTCCCACCTCTACAGGAGACTACGGTACATCAGGACCAAAACCTCCCGCCATAAGAACAGTTTCTTCCCCTCTGCTGTTGGACTCTTGAACACTTCATAACCTGTCCCCCCACCCTTTAGAAGTCCCCTTACTGCCCCTTATAAAGCCCTCTTACTGCCCTTTATACTGTAATGTCACTTTACTGCTGTCACCTTATATTGTGTGCACCATGCGCACTTGTATTTTTTACTTTGGACTAGAGCAGAGAAAATGGTCTGAACCAAGCGGCTACTCCACCTTTGTGACCTGTCCTGCTCCACCCAGCGGCTTCTCCATCTCTTCTGCTGTGACCTGTCCTGCTCCACCCAGCGGCTTCTCCATCTCTTCTGCTGTGACCTGTCCTGCTCCACCCAGAGGCTTCTCCATCTCTTCTGCTGTGACCTGTCCTGCTCCACCCAGAGGCTACTCCACCTCTTCTGCTGTGACCCATCCTGCTCCAACCAGCGGCTTCTCCATCTCTTCTGCTGTGACCTGAAGGGCTGTTGCTGATTATTACTATTTTTAACTTTTTAGAATGATCAGTTTTATTTTATATTTTTTCTGCTACTGGACACCTGCATTTCTCCTATGGGGCTCAATAAAGTATCTATCTAAAACTATTGCATTATAGACTAAAAATCAAATCAAATCAAAATTCAGTTTCAGCAGCAAAAGGGATGCAAGGGGATATATAAAAATGAGTGGTGTAATGTGTACCAGAGACGGAGAGTCAAAGGGCAGACACTAGTTATGTAGAAAGGATGGGCATCCGTCGTCCAACCAGTTATACCTCAGTTTTAGAAGTGGTTTTATTCGTTTCACGCATAAGATTCTCGATACAATTCTTCACATATGAATGTAGTAAAAACAGATGCCTCTATTTCCATGTTGAGTGAGCGACATGTTTTGGGTCATGGCAGCTGTACATTTACTGTATATAGTGGGCACAAACCTTTGCTTTTATGGTGAGCATCTCTATCATGCAATATGTTTTAAGGTGGCACAAGTTATCCAGACGCCTAGAAAAAATGATTAGAATGATTTCTATAGTCGACATTAGATAAAACCCTAATGGCCTTCTTTCAAGTGAATAATCAAAATGCCATGAATGTGATCTTGTCGTCTGTTTTATTGTTGTTGAACTTGGGTCGTCACATTTTAGCGAGCGAGGAGAGCATTTCCTCGGAGACTAGATCAATTGGTTATATTGACATTTATTCTAGAAACAAAACACATTTCACAATGAAAAATTACACGTTTCTGTGATCATTGAAAAGTGATAATTATTCATATAATCACTTACCCAATAATGTGTAGCTGAATAACAGCCTATGAAAGAGCAGAAAACAGTGATTAATTGAGAAACATTGAGCTCAGGTGTAATCTGTTCCATATACAGCTGCAGCGGCAATATTCCTCACAAATACAAAAACTGATCATATCAGGCCTTTTAGACTATTCTACACCGGCTTCTAGTCTGTTACAGAAGAGACTTTAAAATACTCTTGGTGTACAAGGCACTTGTTTTTAAGCATTCAATGTTGCTTCTACTTGAATAGTGCTGATAATAAATAATAGTATAAAATAATGATGAATGATTTTTTTTTCCATGTCTTGAAATCTCAGCTTCATCATTACATGTACATAAAACATACTCACATTCAGACAAAAACAGTTTGTTGTCTTTGCACACCACACGTGAATATCTCCAAGACTTATTGACACATTTCAAGTCCTCTTGTGTTCCAGATAAAACAAATTTCTCCCCGATATTCTCAAGATAAGGATATTTGTTTGTTTCCAGCTTACAGAAGTTGACTGCACACACATAAAAGATGAACATAAACACAATGCATTACTTGTATTTATTGATACGCACACACACATATATACAGTACACAGTTATTTTGCACTATACCGTCACATGTGGGTTTGTGGGTCCACTGGCCATTCATACATCTCACTATACTGCTTCCGTTTAGTTTGTACCAATAACTACATCGATATGTTAAAAACATTCCACTTTCATCAGCATAATATTCTGCATTTTGGACGGTGGGTGGTGGGGGACACTCTTCAACTGTAAAAGACATGAGGGATGACTCAAATTATATTGTGTAAAAGCATATTGTGGTTAATTTATTCAAGTGAAGAGAGAAAATGTTGAGTACTTGGGACAAATAAAGGCCCATGATTGTCGCCTGAAACACAAAGAATGTATTTTATCAAAAAGTTAGATTAGAACCAATAACAATTCCTTTTGCGTTTCAATAGTTCAAATGAATAAAGTATGAAAAATAATGGTGGTATTTGATTCAGACGAAGGATTCCCCACATTTCTCTCACCTGGAGTCCCGGCGTTCTGCTTTTTTCCTAGAGACACATTTTCTCATAAATAAATAGAAAGGATGTAGATGTCCTTGTGAGCTCCAGTTCTCTTACTGCATGAGGGAAGTGAAATCCACTGGCCGTAACTGCAGGTGGCCTTGTTGTTAGACGTCTCCAGCTCGTATCCTCTCTGACAAGCATACTCCACTTGTTCTTCTTCAGCAAACATGTCCTGCACCTGGTTTATTACGACACCGTTTGGAATTTGTGTTGGTAGCTCACACCAACTTTCTATCTCTGTAAACACGTGTTGGTTCAAATCTGGTTTCATTAGGTGTTGTTTCCATTACTCACTTTCACACACTGGTATCTTTGTCCACGCTCCATTTTGACAAAGGGCAACAGCATTTTTTTTCTTGTCCTCATATCCATAGTTACATTTTATTCGGCCTTTAAAACCGTCTTTCACGAATGGGAATTTGGTATAGTTTGCGTTGGCAATTTCTGGATCAAAGCATGATGATTCACCTGGAGAGTAAGGAGCAGGTTTAGGGGTTGCAAGATCAGACATAGAGATGCAGATTTTTGGGAATGTAATGGAAATAATAACTTTTGAAACTTTATTTTGATCTTTGGCACTCAAGCAAAAAGTTCTTTTTTTTTAATATCCATTAACAAGTATGAATTTTATATAATTCCAAGTCAAATCTGAGGATTAGGCATTGTGTCACAGAGATCATCTGCTCCAATCATTTGTGCTGAAAAATAATTTTAAGCATTAGATCAGTCAAGTTTCTGAACTCAATTGTGGAAATGTAAAAGCACCAAAATGATAAGTAAAGTAACTACTGAGTAAAGTAACTACTGACAAAAGTAATTACAGGGAGAGTTTGGTGCTTTCACATCTTCATGAGGTCTGCTTTCTCTCTGGTTCACTTTAAAGTGGTTCACCTGCTACTGACGCGTGAACGCTTCCTTAGGCTGCTATGCCATTTTTGGCCCATCGGATAATAGTAAGTAACAGAAAAAGAGTTGTTCTTACTAATACACAGGGGTACTGACGTCCAGTTTCCATTTTGACAAACAACGGTTCCCCACCAATCTCCCTCCACTGGCTTAAAACCGAGGTCACAGCCATAGTACAGCTGAGTGTGGTCAGAGAAAGCGTTCTGCTCCGTCACAAAGAAACCATTTGGGATATCGGGAGGGAGGCAATCTTGACTTTCAGCAGCTACAATAGAACACATGTAACTTACATCCTACAGTCGAGAGTAGGGCTTGTAATACTGTTGACAAACATTAAAAACATTGTATGTAATTGTGTTGTACAATGTGGACAAACCAACCCCAGGACATTCATATATAAGTAAATGGCAAACTAACAAACATTCTGAATTCATAATATGCAAGTCATACTGTATGTGCAATTTTAAGTAATTTTCCCTAGGTCATTTTGGTCTAAAATTGACCCATAAGGAAAATTTCACAGTGCATGTCACACTTGTTCTCCTGAACTGGATCAATTCTGGTTCACTTTGGGTTAAGTTAAGTAAGTAAGTAATCTTTATTTATATACCGCCTTTCACAGACCAGAGTCACAAAGCGGTTTACAATTGTTATTTTTTGGGCATTAGTCCTCTCACTCCACACAGAGATGGGAGCGGGGTGTGGAAGTTCACAAACCAGTTTCAAAATGTGGAATCTGGCTCAAGTGTATTTATGTGTTTGTAAAGTAAAATATTTTGCCCCAAGGGACCAGACATGGTCCAGTAACAAGTGTAAACACAGACTAAATCTAAGAAGAGACTTGAAGCGACTGTTCTTTGAGGTTTCATTCTTAAAGAACTGGGAATTTTCAAATCTGAAAAATATCAAATTGCAATTTTGTTTCCATTGAGATTCATTTTGTGGCCCCATCTCTGATTGTTGATGTGGACTATTTGTCACTTCAAACTTATGTTCAAAATACTTCACAACAAAAATAAACAGACTTACCATTGACAGCAGAAAGACACTGAACTGCAGCCCAAAACCAGAGCAGTTTGATGTCCATTTTGACCTGAAGGAAGCAACACAGTCACACAAACTGAAGTTGTTCTGCTTGTTGCACGGTTAATGATTACCACAAGTCTTTGCCCAAAAAAATAGATGCTTGTTTGCAATTGTGTTTGGACTTACAGAAAGTCCACATTTCCAAATGTACAAATAGGTATTTTGAAACAGGACAAATAAGAGTCACCGGTTGGTTCAATACCTGTCATTAGAGATCTGACATCATGGATCAGTGGTGTTTCATAAAAAAGTATTACCAATAACGTTAACATGTTTTTAATCATCAGGGACTGGGACAGATGAAGACGCAGAGCTGTCTAATCAGTCTTAAGTATCACTTTGGAAAGAATCGTAAGAGTCTCCTACCAAAACAAATGACAAAATTATACATTTAGAATATATTTGTGAAATAAAGCTTTGAATTATTGTCATTTTACTCTTCTGCCACTTTATAATCTCATTGAGATCTATCGATAATCTGCTCTCTCAAAGGTCTATTGTGTGCCTTATATATTCACATTTTAATACAATATTCAAGCATGCATTTTTATTATATATATTTTTTTAACTTGTTTGCAATATGAGTCAAAGCAAATTCATAGATTGTGATTTCCTGTTTCTTATAATGACAATAAAAACAAGATTCTGATCCTCATGACCTGCCAGTCATGAGCACATTTCTCCATTCTCAATTTCCGTGGACATATTTTTATTTTCTTGTCACATGCCATTTTTTTCCCCGGTCACAAGGTTTCCCCAGTCACGGCTCAGTCTAAACGTGAGCTTCACTGGTTGCTGTTTACTTTAAAAAATACCAAAGTTTTCCAGACTAAACAATATTTGACTCCTCTCCGGTCCACAGTTTGCTCCACGCAAACTAATGTTTCTTTGTAGTCCCTAGTGTCAAGAATGAAGTCGGAAAACATTAATTCACACTTCACACATAAGACTGTTTGCAGTCTTTTGGAAATACATTTGGAAATGTGGACTTTCTGTAAGTCCTAACACAATTGCAAACAAGCATCTATTTTTTTAGCTGTTCCATAACTACCGTATACTTCCATAAGTTATGGAACAGCTAACGCGAAGCCTTGATCTGCAAGTACAGTGCTACCAACTCGCCGTATACTTCTGTATAACAGTAAACAGCTTGAAATATATTATTATTAATCTTTATTTCAGACTCAAGATAAAATTGGTCTATACAAAAAATAAAAAGATAAACAATAAAAGGACAATGCATTCAAATATATAGTATCATTTCCAGCAGATTTAAATATGATAAAGTGTATCTGTCCAGTGCTTTCTCAGAGCAGACGTGTAGCGACATGAGCTCATTCTACCGTTGGTCAGAGTCCGAATGATGCCGTTCTCAGAGTCCTCCAGACGTTCCTTGAACTAAAAGGTTAGATGCCGTATCAGAGCCTCACAGGTGTGAATGTGGGCTCTCACAAACAGTTCACTGGCCAGAGACGCCGAGATCCCTGAGTGGTAAATGGCTAACCAATGTTTTGGCCACCACAAGGGGGCGCTTCGAAGTGGCCAAATCTGTGGCTAACGCACCTTTTGCCATTTTCGACTGGTTAAAAGAATCGCCAAAATGCCGTTCGCGTCTTTTCGTGTGTTTTACCAGGATTTACATAGATTATTCAGAAATATACTGATTAGTAAATTAGATAATGAATGGTTAAACGTTTTACACTTCAGCGTAATAATAACCTGAAGTTTAAAACTTTTAACCAATTGATGCTTGTTTTTTCCTCACTTACACAAATGCCTCCAAATTAAATAGAACCTAAAGATGTTTATTGTAAGTAAGTAAGTTAGTAAGTTTTTATTTATATACCGCCTTTTCACTGCAGATCTGAGTCTCAAAGCGGTTTACAATTGTTAATTTTTGGGCATTTGTCTCTCACTCCACCAGCGGCGGCGCCAGACATTTGTCATAGGGGGTGCTTAGGGGGTGCTGACGTCTTGCCTGGGGGTGCTCAACATAACATGTTATGTGCGCAGTCAGTTGTATTGGGCAACATAATCCAATAATAACGTATATACGCGTGTATTCCACCGCAAGCGCATGGGAAAATATCCTACAGAGTGGATTGCAAAAGCGTCAGCAGCCGCCAGCCGGTGGAACTGTTGCGCGCGGTGGAGGACAGGAGGATGCGCTCCGTCCGGATCCGCGTTTGTTTACCATGAGGCACATCGCACAGAAGAGCCACCGCGGAGTTGTTTTTATGTGACCCGCGTGGGAAGGACATGTGTGTTCAGTGTGCCATAACAGCATGTCATCTTTACGAATGTCCCCTTTTAAACACACCCTGGCTGCATGCAAGAGTTGCATCAAGCATAATAATATAATCAAAATAATCTCTATTTGTTGATTAATAAATCGAACGATGATGAACAAAAAAATCTTGTAATTTTTATTATTTGTGCCGAGGGAAACACACTTTACCAAAATAAACACATAGGCCTAACAAAAACAGTCCCCTATAAGCTAACAAGTACAACTTCGAAAAACTGTCCATTTAATGAGGGATATAAAGCCTGTATTTTTGTATTCCTTTCAAGGCTGTGCCCATAGCCTACTATTTGGATGTTTCTTGTAGGCGCATTCTTTCCCTCGAGACTGCCAGACAAAGCAAACATTCAAATCAACGCCTTTATCAAAATAACTAGACTTAGCATATACCATTCAAAACATTTATACTTACAATTTATACGTCTTCATAACAGCACAATACGTCTGTTGTTGTGATTGACAGCGAAGGCGTTAATTATCCTATCACTGTCCATGGCCCTCGCTCTAGCAGAGTTAATGGCCAATAGTCCCAGGTTACTGGTCCGTGTGTCCCCGCTGCTGTTTCTTAAATAATTTTTCAGTCTGCGCAGGCACGAGAAACTTCTCTCACAGCTCACTGATGTAACAGGAAGGGTCAAGGATATGCTGATCAGTTTGAACAAATCCATAAAGGCCTCTTTGTACGGGCGCAAAAGGTGCAGAAAATCCTGTGGGCTTTTTACAGCATGTCCCTGTTGCTTTTTCCTTTCTAGAAGCCGACGGACTTGATGTAGTTCCGCAGACAGGTTTTCCTCTCGCACTCCATAATGCTGGGCCATGGGCAGAAGTAGTTGCTTGTCCAGAAAACCTGTATGTTTTGGGGAGAGCGCCTGTACACCTTTCATCACGTTGTTTGTTTCTGTAGAAAAACGCCGCTTCATCTCCACTCTCAGTTTGTCTAACACAGGAAAGAATGACGCTACTTTAAGCACATCCATGTCATTGGTACGCGCCCTTTCTATAGGAGCCTCAACAACAAATCCCTCCAGATGTCTTGTTTGAACTTGGCGTTTCTCCTTTTGGGTCTGTCTTATTCCACTGTCGACACACATGCTCTCTGCTTTCTGTCTTAACCTTTCCCATGTCTGGTCAGTGCGTTTTTCTGAAAGCGCAGTGATAACTGATTGAGCCAAGTCATCTGCTGCTACAAGATCAAAATTGGGAGCCTGTAGCTGATCTGACATAAACTTAGTTGTTCTGAGTACATCTTCAAAAAGAACAAGATGCAAGATAAACGACTCATCAATGAGGGAGCTAATAGCTCTCGCCTCTGCCCTCCTATGCGCATTGGATCCTTCCAGGATGCTGCGCAGTGTGGCTTGTAGGGCAGGAATGGTGCTCTTGAGTGCGGCAACTGCATTGTATTGGCATGCCCATCTTGTGTCGCTCAGCCGTTTTAATTCAACGCATTGAGATGGATTAAGTTCTTTTTGTTTCTTCAAAAAAATGTCATGAACAACAGATCCCGAAAAAAACCTGTAGAGCATCCCTACTGTTTCAAAAAACTCAGTAGCTGGTTTCACGTTGCGCACACAGTCTACCAACACTAGATTCAGTCTATGAGCGTAACAGTGTATGTAAATAGCTTGCGGGACGTCTTTTCTGAATTTCTCCTGAACTCCATTGTTTGACCCCGACATAACAGAAGCTCCGTCGTAACACTGCCCAACACAGTGATTGGCATCTATTTTACATTGGCTCAGAGTGCGTTTGATGGATAAGAGTAACGACTCCGCGTCAAGGCCTTCTGCAGGGGTGAAATGCAGAAATTCTTCACGCACATCTCCCGACTGTGGATGCAGATAACGGACAATAACTGAGATTTGTTCTTTTTTGCTGACGTCCTTGCTTTCATCAACAAGAAGCGCAAAGTGCTCTGCCTCTCTCACTTCATCACTGATTTCGCTTCTTATTATATCAGCCATAACGGATATTATTTCATCCTGGATATCATGGTGAGTGTACTTTGCATTCCCACTTATGTTTGAAAGTTTCTTGGCCACTGTTTTGTCAAATTTAGCAATGATATGTAAGAGCTCCAAAAAATTCCCTTTGTTTGCGGACTCCTCATCTTCTCTGTGGCCTCGCTGCGCTATGCCCTGACAGGCCGTATAGCGAAGGCTCTCAACTACAGCTCCAATGTATTGTCTGTTTTCTTGTACTAACTGCGAGTGTCCTTTGTCTAACAAATTGGCCATTTTTGATCCTCTGGTCCCCTTTAGTTTAAATTCACCCCAATGGTCCATTGCAAATTTGTGACCAGCACTTTCGTTGTGACCCCTCAGAGTTTGTGTTGCCTTTCGCCAATTACAAAATCCATTTGTTGTAAAAGTTGCCTCCAGATGATGAAACCCAGGTCCCCCACGTTTTAAAAAATGACGGCATGCAAAACACCAAACTGAGTCTTTGGTAACGCTGTACTCGAGCCATGAATATAGATCAAACCAGCCTTTATTAAAACTGCGCTGCTGCGCTCCATATTGTCTTGTGGGGTATTTCTGTAGGAGTGGTTGGCTGGGACCATTTTGTGGATGTGCGCTGATATCAGTACAAGACTGAGACTCCTGACCAGCAGTACCCGAAACCACATTAGAACCTGCAGCTTCATTAGCATCGGTCGCCTCATTAGCTTCGGCCCGCGGTGGCACTCTTTTACCTTCCTCCTCCTCCTCCTCCGAGTTCGAAGAGATTTCCTCACAGGTGTTTGGCATAGATTTTGAGTTTGTACAAACGGCATTCCCCGACTCATTTTCCGTAGACTCCACTCGGGGTCGTTTAGGGACCAAAAAACGCTCCATTTTGCTCACATTTATTTACTTGGGCCACTATAGCATTCGGACAGTAAGGACATTAGGACAAACAACACTTCAGGCGCGGGAAATTGCTCTGCGCGAATGTGAGCTTTTTGGATTTTATTTTATTTACAGCCTAACTTAATATTGTCTCATAATGATTGATAAAATCGATGGTAAATGTCATGACTATAATGAACATGGAGTCACGCTCAGTCCGACATGGAGCGTCGCTGACCATGCGTTCTGATGCACGGCCGTATTAACGTAAAAATGGGTCTTAGCCTGGGCGGCCCAGGCACTCTCCTTTAGTTAAAATTATTATTTGTCCCACATACTCCTTTTCACATGAAACAGCCTATAATGCACTATGAATGTCTGTAGAGATAACTAGTTCTCCTATGATTAAGAGGCATAAATCTTTGGGGGTGCTTTGGGGGTGCTTTGACAATCTCAGGGGGTGCTCAAGCCCCCCCTAGCCCCCCCCTGGCGCCGCCCCTGCACTCCACACAGAGATGGGAGCGGGGTCGCCAGTACAGGAGGCGCATGCCAGAACTATTGGACATATTTTTAGTGGTAGGGGAAACCGGAGTACCCGGAGGAAACCTACGCAGACACGGGGAGAACATGCAAACTCCACTCAGAAAGGCCCTGGTCCGACCGGGATTCGAACCCAGATCCTTCTTGCTGAGAGGCGTGAGTGCTATCCACTCAGCCACCGTGCCGCCCAAAATTTTTTGTGACTTATTGTGATAATTATAATTAATAATATATATATATATATATATATATATATGTATATATATATATATAAAAAAATTGTCCACTCACCTTTGGCCCTCCGCGGGCGGTTATCCCTCTCTAAGCTCGGGTCCTCTACCAGAGGCCTGGGAGCTTGAGGGTTCTGCGCAGTATCTTTATGGGGTGCCGATTGTAAAAATTCTGTTAAAATTTTTTAGCTGAACATTTTTCTACATTTAGCTCACTTTCCTCACATTTAGCACATTTTCCTCACATTTAAGACATATCTATATCTAAATATTATATCTATATCTAAATGTTAAATGTTATATCTAAATATTATATCTATATATAAATGTTATATCTATATCTAAATGTTAAATCTAAATGTTAAATCTAAATGTTATATCTATATCTAAATGTTATATCTATATCTAAATGTTAAATGTTATATCTAAATGTTATATCTATATCTAAATGTTAAATCTAAATGTTAAATCTAAATGTTAAATCTAAATGTGTCGCCAAGTGTAAAGCTAAATATATAGAAACCACGCCCACTGCAGTGGCTTCAAATCCAGTGGGCCCGCCTTCCGTGCCGTGTGGTGAGAACCCTACAGGATTACACAGGAATCTCACGGGACTCCACGTGCCTTAGGCCCTGTCCACACGAAGTCAAGCTCAGGCCTAAACGCAAAAATACTTTATCAATCCAGTGTATCGTCCATACGAGGCCGGCGTTTTGGGGGGGTGTAAACGAACATTTTTGAAACTAGGTCCCAGAGTGGAAAGATTTCAAAACTCCGTATATGCCGCTCCGTGGTTACTGCCTCTCCGCAATGTATCTGAGACGCTTGCGTCATCGCCCCGCCTCTTGTTAAAGCACGCATGCGCCGCACTCAGAAAATAATGACAACAACAATGTAGCTTGTTGGTTTTGTAATCCAGTGTGACCCGAAGCAACAGTTCAACCTCATCGTCCGTCCATACTAATGTAGTACCAGCTCGCCCACTCGCCATGTTGTCTGTTTACAAAATTCCGCGCATGCCCACGGAAGTTTGGGCTTGATCCCGTCATTGCGTCACAGCGCCACCAACAGGTCTGGCATAGTTTCACAGCGTTTTCAGGCGTATTGACTACATTCATATGGACGCACACATTTACTGAGCTAACTCCGTGTTTACAGAAAAAGTTTCTGAAATTATAAGCGTTTTGTCTTCGTGTGGATATAGCCTTAGTTTACAGTGAATACACTCTGGCTCCAGCAAATAAGCGAGAATCTTCACAAAAATGCTAATTTTGTGCCGTGGCCAAGGACGATGGCGCCGGAGACCCAACATGCCTTGAGCCGTGACGTCGGTCCACGTGTATTCCTATGTTCAAAACACGCGGCACCGCCCCCACTCACCCCACGGCACGGAAGGCGGGCCCACTGGATTTGAAGCCACTGCAGTGGGCGTGGTTTCTATATATTTAGCTTTACACTTGGCGACACATTTAGATTTAACATTTAGATTTAACATTTAGATTTAACATTTAGATTTAACATTTAGATTTAACATTTAGATTTAACATTTAGATTTAACATTTAGATTTAACATTTAGATATAGATATAACATTTAGATATAGATATAATATTTAGATATAACATTTAACATTTAGATATAGATATAATATTTAGATATAGATATAACATTTAGATATAGATATAACATTTAGATATAGATATAACATTTAGATTTAACATTTAGATTTAACATTTAGATTTAACATTTAGATTTAACATTTAGATTTAACATTTAGATATAGATATAACATTTAGATATAGATATAATATTTAGACATAACATTTAACATTTAGATATAGATATAATATTTAGATATAGATATGTCTTAAATGTGAGGAAAATGTGCTAAATGTGAGGAAAGTGAGCTAAATGTAGAAAAATGTTCAGCTAAAAAATTTTAACAGAATTTTTACAATCGGCACCCCATATATCTTTGCTGTTCCTAGCACTGCACATTTCTGGACCGAGATGTCCGAGGTTGTTCCGGGGATCCACTCTTCTAGCTTCGGGGTCACTGCCCCGAGTGCACCGATCACCACGGGCACTACTGTCACCTTTACCCTCCAGGCCTTCTCCAGCTCCTCTCTGAGACCTTGGTATTTCTCAAGCTTTTCATGTTCTTTTTTCCGGATGTTACCATCGCTTGGAATTGCCACGTCCACCACCACGGCTGTCCTCTGCCCTTTGTCCACCACCACGATGTCAGGTTGGTTCGCCATTACCATTCGGTCGGTCTGTATCTGGAAGTCCCACAGGCTCTTTACACGCTCATTCTCCACCACCTTTGGAGGAGTTTCCCACTTAGACCTTGGGGTTTCCAGCCCATACTCTGCACAGATGTTTCTGTACACTATGGTAAGGAACTTTCGAGTTTTAACATCCGTGGTCTGAATCTCTTCCTTTGGCCACCTGATTATTCCTGCAGGGTATCTGATCACTGGCAGGGCGTAGCTGTTAATTGCCCGGGCTTTGTTCTTGCCATTGAGCCGGCTTCTTAGGACCTGCCTTACTCGCTGGAGGTATTTGCCGCTTTCCTCGTCACCTGTTCGAGGTTGCCATTTGCCTGTGGTATACCGAGATACTTATAACTGTCCTCAATGTCTGTTATTGTTCCCTCTGGGAGTGAGATCCCTTCTGTGTGGACTACCTTGCCTCTCCGAGTCACCATCCTGCTACATTTCTCGAGTCCGAATGACATCCCGATGTCATGGCTGTGATCCTGGTGGTTTGGATCAGAGAGTCGATGTCTCTCTCGCTCTTGGCGTACAGCTTGATGTCATCCATGTAGAGGAGGTGACTGACCTTTGCTTCGTTCCTGAGGCGGTATCCATCGCCAGTCTGGTCAATTACTTGGCTTAGAGGGTTGAGGCCTATGCAGAACAGTAGTGGGGACAGAGCATCTCCTTGGTAGATACCACATTTGATGGTCACTTGTGACAGCGGCTTGCCATTTGCCTCAAGGGTGGTCTTCCACATTCCCATCGAGTTTGCAACGAAGTCCCTTAGAGCCCTGTTGATATTGTACAACTTAAAGCATTCTATGATCCATGTGTGTGGCATTGAGTCGTAGGCTTTCTGGTAATCAATCCAGGCTGTGCACAGGTTGGTGTGTCGTGACCGGCAGTCTTGGGCGACTGTTCTGTCAACCAGGAGCTGGTGTTTGGCTCCTCTGGTGTCCCTACCAAAGACCTTCTGTGCTGTGCTCATGAATTGTTCCATATGCCCACTTATCTTAGCCGCAATGATGCCTGACATGAGCTTCCATGTTGTGGAGAGACAACATGGAAGCTCACTTCCACGTCTCACTGTGGCAATAACCTGATATTGCACGTCTCAGGTTATTGCCACAGTGAGACGTGCAATATCATAACAGTAGTCATCATATATATATATATATATATACATATATATGATGACTACTGTTATGATATTGCACGTCTCACTGTTCTATAATCAAAGAGAGCAAAGATAGCCATAATCATTTTTTATTATGCAAAGACACAATTGGTCCACCAAATAGTGAAATACAAAGGCCAATCAAGAAAAGGTCACATGGTGACAGCGCGCACACACATCCACGCTGTGTGAGCCGCGCTTTGGCACATTTGCACACACAGGGAACTCACGTCAACGTTTCGCCTATTTACATGTTCTTAAGGTGTGTGTTATCTGCCATGAATGGCCATGAATAGCCTTTATGTCCCTCTGTTCTGCTTATAATTATTTCTTTACACAAATAATGGTGTATAGGTACCTTACAACAGATCTATAGGCAATGTATAACTCTGCGAAGACGCATTAACTTTCGCTCGGAAATTAGTCCGCGGTGTTGCGTAAGCTCCTGACTCGTAACGCCGTTATTTGGAACGAGACCCGTGTCCAGCAGTCAACTACCTCTATGAAGAAGTTGCTTGCGCACTTGTCGATTATTGATACTGGGTTGAAAACATGGCAGGTGAGAATGCCTTTTATAGGCTATAGTATATGTATGCCAGGTGAAATTGCGCTATATGGTGGACAGCGCTTTTTTGTGCAGTACGCTACACGGTGAAATCCTATGTTTTCAGTTGTCAACCGCATGTCTTTTTCATTTGTGTTTCAGATTTAA